TGTCACAACCGCCCGTGCTCGGGAGTCCCAAATGGCGGCGCATAATTGGCACAGCGTCGTTTTGGCCGGGGGGGCTTTACTTGGCTCATCGCGCTCTAGCGACTCCTTGTGGCGGGTCTGGCGCCTGCAGGCGGACCCCAGTCATCAGTTGAACAGTGTTTTTCTTCCGACACATTGGTGCGGCTGGCTTCGGGGTTAAGCGGGCGGGTGTTAAGGAGCGCGGTTTGGCGGGTCATGTTTCGGAGGACGCATGACTCCACCTTCGCCTCTCCCTCTCTCTCTCTCCGTTGGGGAGTTGCAGCGATGAGATCGAAACTGGGGAGGAAAAAGTGGAGGAAAAAACACAGAAAAATTATACTAAATATAATAATACTGTGTAGTGTGTTGACACCTGCTGGTCGAACATCTCATTCACTCATAGTGTGAGAGAGAAAGAGATTGTTTATTGTCTATTCCACTTGCTTTGGCAATGTAAACATATATTTACCATGCCAATAAAGCCCTTTCAATTGAATTGAAGAGAGAGAGAGAGAGAGAGAGAGAAGAATTAAGAAATAAATTAGTGGGTAGAGAGTGTCTCTGAGGAGTGACTGTCAGTATGCAGTGGCCTATGAAAGCAGCAGCACCTTCTCCAGAAAGAGGACATTACTCTCATCTACACTACATGACCAACAGTATGTGGACACCTGCTCGTCGACATTCTCATTCCAAAATCATGGCCATTAATATGGAGTTGGTCCCCCCTTTGCTGCTGTAACAGCCTAACTAACTCTTCTGAGAAGGCTTTCCACTAGACGTTGGAACATTGCTGCGGGGACTTGCTTCCATTCAGCCACAAGAGCATTAGTGAGGTTGGGCAATTAGGCCTGGCTCACAGTCTGTGTTCCAATTCATCCCAAAGGTGTTCGATGGGGCTGAGGTCAGGGCTCTGTGCAGGCCAGTCAAGTTCTTCCACACCGATCTCAACAAACCATTTCTGTATGGACCTCGCTTTGTGCACGGCGGCATTGTCATGCTGAAACAGGAAAGGGCCTTCTCCAAACTGTTGCCACAAAGTTGGAAGCACAGAATCGTCTAGAATGTCATTGTATGCTGTATTGTTAAGATTTCCCTTCACTGGAACTAAGGGGCCTAGGCCGAACCATGAAAAACAGCCCCAGACCATTTTTCCACCTCCACCAAACTTTATAGTTGGCAGTATGCATTGGGGCAGGTATCCAAACCCAGAATGGTCCGTCTCACTGCGAGATGGTGAAGCGTGATTCATCACTCCAGAGAACGCATTTCCACTGCTCCAGAGTCCAATGGCGGCGAGCTTTTACACCACTCCAGCCGATGCTTGACATTGCTCATGGTGATCTTAGACTTGTGTGCGGCTGCTCGGCAATGGAAACCCATTTCATGAAGCTCCCGACGAACAGTTCTTGTGCTGAAGTTGCTTCTGGAGGCAGTTTGGAACTCGGTAGTGAGTGCTGCAACCGAGGACAGATGATTTTTACGTGCTTCAGCACTCGGCGGTCCCATTCTGTGAGCTTGTGTTGCCTACCACTTCGCGGCTGAGCCGTTGTTGCTTCTAGAAGTTTCCACTTCACAGTAATAGCACTTACAGTTGACCGGGGCAGCTCTAGCAGAGCAGAAATTTGACAACTGACTTTTTGGAAAGTTGGCATCCTATGATGGTGCCACGTTGAAAGTCACTGAGCTCTTTAGTAAGGCCATTCTACTGCCAATGTTTGTATATGGAGATTGCATGGCTGTGTGCTCGATTTTATACCCCTGTCAGCAAAGGGTGTGGCTGAAATAGCCGAATCCAGTAATTGGAACGGGATGTCCACATACTTTAGTATATATAGTATATATGTCACGCCCTGACTCTGGGGACTCTTATTTGTTGAGTCAGGGTGGGATTTTCTATGTTGTATTTTCTGTGGTTATATTCTAGTATGTGTATTTCTATGTTGGCCGGTGTGGTTCCCAATCAGAGGCAGCTGTCGCTTGTTGTCTCTGATTGGGGATCATACTTAGGCAGCCTATTGGCACTAGTGGGTTGTGGGATCTTGTTCCGTGTGAGGTATGTTGTTTGTGTACCTTGGACTTCACGTTTCGTTTCGTTTGTTGTTTTGTCGTTGTTTATTCGGTTCAAATAAACATGTATGCATATCACGCTGCGCCTTGGTCTGACCCGTCCTTCAACGAACGTGACAGTATAAACTAGAATAATGTCTATTAGGGCTGTCAAACGATTATCACATTTAATCGAGTTAATCTTATTCAGAATTTGCAAAAATTCAGCTGTAATTTAAGATGTTTTATACAAAAAGCATTACAAAGAATATTGCCATCTTGATTTTTTTTACAAAGTAACTGTAAGCTAAATCACTAAAATTGAAAAGCACCATTGTTGTTTTTAGCTGTATTGATTATGTGTTGTTAGTGTATTTTGAACGCTTTCATACAATGTGATTAATCGTGATAAAATAATGAGTACATTAAAATTACAATACGTTAACTCGATGAACTCTGACAGCCGTAGAAGTTTGCAGGTAACTGCCAAAATAAAGGAAAACACCAACATAAAGCGTCTTAATAGGGCGTTGGGTCACCACGAGCCAGAACAGCTTCAATGCACCTTGGCATAGATTCTAGTATCTGGAACTCTATTGGAGTGATGTAATACCATTCTTCCACAAGACATTCCATCATTTGGTGTAGGAAAGCGCTGTCTCAGGCGCCGCTCCAGAATTTCCCATTAGTGTTCAATTGGGTGACACACACACCCACACACACACACCCACACCCCACACACACACACACACACACACACACACACACACACACACACACACACACACACACACACACACACACACCTCACACAGACACACACACACTTTAAACCCCCATATGCTCCTTTGAGACCCTTCTTTCAAAGTCACTGAGATCTCTTCTTCTATCCATGGTAGCAAAATAATGGGCAACTGGGCATTTTTATTCATGACCTTAAGCATTATGGGATTTTAATTGCTTAATTAACTCAGGAACCACATCTGTGTTGAAGCACCTGCTTTTAATATACTTTGTATCCCTCATTTCCTCAAGTGTTTCCTTTATTTTTGGCAGTTACCTGTACATATGCTATCTAGCAGATTATGTGTTGACATATTCTATTTCATGACTTCGGGCCAAATCTTAACTTTACCTAGTCATGCATTGTTGATGTCAATGGACGATTTCCCTGGCAACCAGAGGCATGCTGATCTAAAAGGTTTTGAGCCTTTGTATGTTGCTTTTCCTTTTCCATTTAATCTATGAGTCTGCATTTCTTTACTCCCTGTAGAATATCTCCTTGTGGAATTTCTCCCTGTAGAATATATACTTGTGGAATATCTCCCTGTGGAATATCTCCCTGTGGAATATCTCCCTGTGGAATATCTCCTTGTGGAATATCTCTCTGTAGAATATCTCCCTGTGGAATATCTTACTGTGGAATATCTCCTTGTGGAATATCTCTCTGTAAAATATCTCCCTGTGGAATATCTCTCTGTAGAATATCTCCCTGTGGAATATCTACCTGTAGAATAGCTCATTGTGGAATATGTCCCTGTAGAATATCTCCTTGTAGAATATCTCCTTTTGGAATGCATCCTTGTGGAATATCTCCCTATAGAATATCTCCCTGTGGAATATCTACCTGTAGAATATCTCCCTGTGGAATATATCCTTGTGGAATACCTCCCTGTAGAATATCTCTCTGTGGAATACCTCCCTGTAGAATATCTTCCTGTAGAATATTTCCCTGTGGAATATACAGGGGTATTGTATAACTTGGTAGCTTGTGTATCAACATCTCAGATACCTACTGTGTTAGAATTGGAATTGTGCTCTATGTATTTTCTCCCAAGCAGGCAGTGTAGCTGTGAAAAGCTGATGACAGTGAGTCTGGGTAAAGAGTCACAATGCAGCTGGATCTACACAGACCTGCTTCTCGTTGTGGCTCACTTCTGTTCTCTGTCCTCTGATAATACCATCCATCCCTCGCTTCTAATGTCTACTCAGATCTCCCCCCCCCCCCCCTCCCCCGTCTCTCTGTCTCTCCCACTCCCCACCCTCCCTCTTTCTCCTTCACCCACTTGCTCTCTCTCTCCCTTGTTCTCTTCCTCCCTCCCTTACTGTCTCTCTTTCTTTCCAAAATCAACTAATTTCTTGCTGGTTCTCCCCGTGGCGGTGGTTGTCAGTGAGCAGACGGGATTCCACCGGCTTTTAACAGCAGCGTTCCAACAGGGATTAACCCGTCTCCTCCAATTACCCAGAGAAATACTGATCGGAAAATGATTCTCATTACTGAAGCCTGAGTCACCTGTTCCTGCTATGAGCCTAGATAAAGAGGATATCCTAGGGAGGAGGGAGGGAGGGAGGGAGGGAGGGAGGGAGGGAGCGAAGAAGAGAGAGAGAGAGGCAGAGAGAGAGAGAAAGAGAGTGAGAAGAAAAGAGAGAGGGAGAGAGAGAGAGAGAGGAAGGAGAGTAAATGAGAAAGAGGAAGGTTGGGGAGTGAGGAGTCACACAGAGATAGGCCCCGGGGAGTGTGTGGGCGGGAAAATGTGTGCTTGTCAGAAAGTTAGGTGAACACTGTCCAGAGCTCCCTGGGTAAGCTTTTGGGGATGGTGTAGAGTAGTGGTGTTTTACTGCAGTTATTAACATGTCCTCCCCAGGCCTGCACACTGACACTCTGCTACACAGAGACAGGACTACCATACTGCATTACTACTACTACAACATACTGTGTGGACTGGTGGTGTACTGCAGTCGAACCATTTCATTTCCCTCCACTTGTATATAAAGATGAAGACTGTGTGTGTGTGTATGGGTGTGTGTGGGTTTGTGTATGATACCGGACACACATTTGATATGTGTATACGTATATGTCTGACAAGGTATTAAAACAACGTATGTGTGTGGTGTGTGTGTGTGTGTGTGTGTGTGTGTGTGTGTGTGTGTTAGGTATGCGTATCCTGGTGACCCTCCTCCTGGACACCCTGCCCATGCTGGGGAACGTCCTGCTCCTCTGTTTCTTCGTCTTCTTCATCTTCGGCATCGTGGGCGTGCAGCTGTGGGCGGGGCTACTGAGGAACCGCTGCTTCCTGCCCCATAACTTCTCACTGTGAGTAACACTATGATTGTGTGTGTGTGTGTGTGTGTGTGTGTGTGTGTGTGTGTGTGTGTGTGTGTGTGTTAGTCATTTCTGTAGTGAGTGTTGATAGTGTGGTGTTGTGTAGTTTGTGTGTGTGATTAGACGGTTAGTGTGTAGGTGGTCCAACGATCGAGCATCGGCTTTCGGCCAACGGTCCAAGACAGCTTCTGCCCCAGGTATAAGACTGTTAAATAGTCTAGATGCTAAATGTCATAGATTGTAAATAGTTAAGATGCTAATAGCCATAAGATTGAAAAGTCATATGACTGCTAAATATCAAGAGTGTTAACTAGGTCATAAGTGCTAAATAGTTATTGATTGCAAATAGTCATAAGACTGCGATATAGTCATAAGATTGCTAAATAGTCATAAGACTGCTAAATAGCCATAAGATTGCTAAATAGTCATATGACTGCTAAATAGTCATAAGATTGCTAAATAGTCATAAGATTGCTAAATAGTCATATGATTGCTAGATAGTCATAAGACTGCTATATAGTCATAAGATTGCTAAATAGTCATATGACTGCTAAATAGTCATAAGACTGCTAAATTGTCATAAGACTGCTAAATAGCCATAAGTCTGCTAAATAGTCATAAGACTGCTAAATAGTTAATTAAATAGTTACCGGAACAATCTGCATTGACCCTATCTGGCGCTGACTCTATGAACACTCACAAGACTATACACTGATAGTACAGAACACTAGGAACACCTGCTCTTTCCATGACGTAGACTGACCAGGTGAATCCAGGTGAAAGCTATGATCCCTTATTGATGTCACTTGTTAAATCCACTTCAATCAGTGTAGATGAAGGGGAGAAGACAGGTTAAAGAAGGATTTTTAAGCCTTGAGACAATTGACATGGATTGTGTATGTGTGCCATTCAGAGGGTGAATGGGCAAGATTGAAGTGCCTTTGAACAGGGTATGGTAGTAGGTGCCAGGCGCAATGGTTTGTGTCAAGAACTGCAACTATGCTGGGTTTTTCATGCTCAACAATTTCCCATGTGTGTCAAGAATGGTCCACCACCCAAAGGACACCCCCCCCCCCCCCCCCCCCACACACACACACACACACATGCACAAACACACGCACACACACAATCATCATATACTGCTGCTACTCTGTTCTTTATTTTTATTATTATAATCTATCATGATGCCTAGTCACTTTACCCTGCCTTTATGTATATATCTACCTCGAATACCTTATTATAATCTATCCTGATGCCTAGTCACTTTACCCTGCCTTTATGTACATATCTACCTCAAATACCTTATTATAATCTATCCTGATGCCTAGTCACTTTACCCTGCCTTTATGTACATATCTACCTCAAATACCTTATTATAATCTATCCTGATGCCTAGTCACTTTACCCTGCCTTTATGTACATATCTACCTCAAATACCTTATTATAATCTATCCTGATGCCTAGTCACTTTACCCTGCCTTTATGTACATATCTACCTCAAATACCTTATTATAATCTATCCTGATGCCTAGTCATTTTACCCTGCCTTTATGTACATATCTACCTCAAATACCTTATTATAATCTATCCTGATGCCTAGTCACTTTACCCTGCCTTTATGTACATATCTACCTCAAATACCTTATTATAATCTATCCTGATGCCTAGTCACTTTACCCTGCCTTTATGTACATATCTACCTCAAATACCTTATTATAATCTATCCTGATGCCTTGTCACTTTACCCTGCCTTTATGTACATATCTACCTCCACATTGATCTGGTACTGGTACTCCCTGTATATAGCTCCACATTGATCTGGTACTGGTACTCCCTGTATATAGCTCCACATTGATCTGGTACTGGTACTCCCTGTATATAACTCCACATTGATCTGGTTCTGGTACTCCCTGTATATAGCTCCATGTATTTTATTCCTCTGATTAAACCCCCTCCAACACAGACTGACTCGCCAGTGGAAGCTGTTGCATAATGCCATCATAAAGTGTGAAATAGCTTAAATAGTTTAAATAAATAAATAAATGTGTGTGTTAGCAAAAACATATATACCAGCAGGACTAGAGGGAGGATTTGGCCACTTTAAGACACTTGTGTCGCTAATGCAGCGAAATACACACACACACACACACACACATACACACACACAGGACACACACACGGGACACACACACACAGACGAGGGACAAACGTGCACAACAGTGTAGGGAACAGTGATGAAAACCCTATCATCTAGATGGTTGATGCTACAACGACCATAACACCTGCTACGCTAACCTAGCTATTATCCACTGTTCCCTCTCTCCTGCAGCCCTCTATCCGTCGAACTGGGCAACTACTACCACACGGAGAACGATGACGAGAGCCCCTTCATCTGCTCCATGCCCAGGGAGAATGGCATGCGTCTGTGTTCCTCTGTGCCCACCCTGTATGAGGAGGGAGGTCTCCAGTGCCAGGTGGACATGAACTCCTACAACAGCACGGACAACACCACCTGTGTCAACTGGAACCAGTACTATAGTAACTGCTCAGGTGGACACGTCAACCCCTTCAAAGGGGCCATCAACTTTGATAACATCTGCTACGCCTGGATCGCCATCTTTCAGGTGAAGGAATGGCGTGGGCGTGCATGTATACATATGGATTGCACGTACGTGTATGTGTAATCACGTGCACACAGAACCACACATGCACATGGACACTCCACAAAGGAGAGTCAATACTGTTGGCCCATAAAAACTAAAGGTGTTTAAAGGTCCAGGACGGCAGTACTTCAGAAGGGTCTCAGGGAGATAGCATTACGTTGGTACTTTCATTGTTGGCACCGGGGTTAGAGACAGCTGATCTTTGGAAAGTGGATTTACTCTACACTCTACATCTTCTTCAAATATACCCTTTGAAGCTTCGTTTTTGAAGTATGCCCAAACAGTTGACCACTTGACTGATCCCTCCTTAAGACTTTGATGTAACTGTTGTCCTGTCCAGGGTTAGGGTGTGTTAGGGTTTGTTAGGGTGTGTTAGGGTGTGTTAGAGTGTGTTAGGGTGTGTTAGGATGTGTTAGGATGTGTTAGGGTCTGTTAGGGTGTGTTAGGATGTGTTAGGGTGTGTTAGGATGTGTTAGGATGTGTTAGGATGTGTTAGGGTGTGTTAGGATGTGTTAGGATGTGTTAGGGTGGGTTAGGATGTGTTAGGGTGTGTTAGGATGTGTTCGGATGTGTTAGGGTGTGTTAGGATGTGTTAGGGTGTGTTATGAGTGTTGTTATAGGGTGTGTTAGGGTGTGTTTAGAGTGTGTTTAGGATGTGTTAGTTGTTTTTTTATGGTCTTTTCGGGTGTGCTTTCGGGTGTTTTTCGGTGTGTCTAGGTCTGTTAGGGATTGGACGTGTGTAGAGGGTGTTGGGTTTGTTTAGGGTGTTTGTGGTTATTGAGGAGGTGTTAGGGGTGTGGTTAGGGTTGTGTTAGGTGTTTAGGGTGTGTTATGAGTGTTAAGAGTGTGTTAGGGTGGTGTGTTCAGTTAGGGTGTGTAGGGTGTGTTAGGTTGTATGTAGGACAGTGACATGGGGAGCTATTGGTCTTCGGTTCGGCTTCGGTGTCGTAAGTGGGCGATTGGTTGAGGAACAAAGTTTTGGGCGATGGAGAAGTGAAGCTCTGGCTTTCTCTTGTCAGGTTATGGTCTTTACGACTTACAGGACTTTATCAGGGGTTGAGGATGTTCCCCCCATAAACTTCTGGCAGTGGTTCGTTGTCTGTGTAGAGGAGTAAACTCAACGGACGAGATGAGACATAACCAGTACCAGAGGTAGAGGTGTAAGGAGGTGCAATGGGCAGCTGGGGGAGGGGTTGGAATGAAAATGGATGAATACTGTCGTTCTGTGGTCTATCTCTCGACTCTATCTTCCACTCTCTCTACTCTATATACTATATCTCTCTCTCTCTATCTCTCTGTCTCTCTCTATCTTCTCACACACACTACTCTCTCTCTCTCTCTCTCTCTATCTCTATTTAATCTCTCTCTATCAAAATCTCTGTCTCTCTCTCTGTAGCTTCTTCTGTCACTCTATACCAATCTCTTATCTAGTCTCTTTCTCTGTATCTCTAACTCCTATCTCTCTCTTGGTTTCAGATATATGTCTATTTCTCTCTCTCCTATCTCTATCTCTATCTATCTCTCTCCTCTCTCTCTCTCTCTCTCTCTCTCTCTCTCTCTCTCTCTCTCTTCTCTCTCCTCTCCTCTCTCTTACAACTCTCACTCACTCACTCACTCACTCACTCACTCTGTCTCTGTCTCTCTTCCCCCCTCCCTCTCTCGCTGTGTCTCTAGGTGATCACTCTGGAGGGATGGGTGGACATCATGTACTTTGTGATGGATTCTCACTCCTTCTACAACTTCATCTACTTCATCCTCCTCATCATTGTAAGAGACCAAATGAGAGAGAGAGAGTGTGTACGTGTGTGTACGTGTGTGAGTAGCAGAATACAATGCCATAGGCATAGCTACTTATTCAAACACCTAGCAAACTCCTGACTCCTGAATGCCCTCCAAGGCCCTTATGTAAAGAGAAGTCTGCTTCCAGAAACATGTCTCAGAACACCACGCATCATCTGTTCAGTCTGATACTCCCTCACAACTACACAGTACACCGCCTGGTGATAGAGTACAGTATTATCTCCTCAACCACACCTTCACAGAGTAGCTAACTTGGGAGTGCTGGTTCACAGAGCTGGGGGAGCTGGTTCACAGAGGCTGGGAGGCTAGCCACTAGCTAACCTGGGAGAGCTGGTTCACAGAGCTGGGGGAGCTGGTTCACAGAGATGGGGGAGCTGGTTCAAAGAGCCTGGGAGGCTAGCCGCTAGCTAACCTGGGGGACTGTCTGTTATTTGTATGTTAAACTCACAGTGGAGATGTAGCTGAAAAACTCCCCAAAGTGGATGGGGAGAGACTCTAACTCTGTGTGTGTTTCTGGTTGTCCCTATCCTAACTCTGTGTGTGTTTCTAGTTGTCTCTATCCTAACTCTCTGTGTGTTTCTGGTTGTCCCTATCATAACTCTGTGTGTTTCCGGTTGTTCCTATCCTAACTCTGTGTGTTTCTGGTTGTCCCTATCCTAACTCTGTGTGTTTCTGGTTGTCCCTATCCTAACTCTGTGTGTGTTTTTAGTTGTCCATATCCTAACTCTGTGTGTGTTTCTGGTTGTCCCTATCCTAACTCTGTGTGTTTCTGGTTGTCCCTATCCTAACTCTGTGTGTTTCTGGTTGTCCCTATCCTAACTCTGTGTGTGTTTCTAGTTTTCCCTATAATAACTCTGTGTGTGTTTCTAGCTGTCCCTATCCTAACTCTGTGAGTGTTTCTAGTTGTCCCTACCCTAACTATGTGTGTATCTGGTTGTCCATATCCTAACAATGTGTGTATCTGGTTGTCCCTCTCTAGATTGACTCTTTCTAGAGACTCTAACTATGTGTGTTTGTGGTTGTCCCTCTCTTAACTCTGTGTGTGTTTCTGGTTGTCCCTCTCCTAACTCTGTGTGTGTTTCTGGTTGTCACACTTCTCTTCTTAAAATCTGATTTTAAACCTAACCCTAACCTTAACACTAACCTTAACCATACTGCTAACCTTGGGCCTAGCCCTAACCTTAAATTAAGACAAAAAATCAAATGTTTGTTTTCATGAATCTTTACAATACAGACAATGTTGACTTTGTGGCTGTAGTAACTAGTGACAACCCCTAACTCTGTGTGGTTGTGGTTGTCCCTCTCCAGATTGACTCTTTCTAGTTTAGTTTAGGGCTTTTTTTAGCACAAAAAAAGAACGATAAACAGTGCAGATAAAAGCAATGTAAAAAGGTGTGCAGGACTCTTTCTAGAGACCAACTCTTTGTTTGTTACTACTCCAGATTGGCTCTTTCTTCATGATCAACCTGTGTCTGGTCGTCATCGCCACCCAGTTCAGTGAGACAAAGCAGAGGGAGAGCCAGCTGATGAGGGAACAGCGCATCCGTTTCCTGTCCAATGCTAGTACCCTGGCCTCCTTCTCTGAGCCGGGCTCCTGCTACGACGAGCTCCTCAAACTCCTTGTCCACGTCATTCGGAATGGGTTCAGGCAGGTGGCCCATGTCTGCCGGGCCGTGATGCGCCGTGCTGGGATGAACATTGCAGCCTCTCCCCCTGCCCTGGAGAGAGAGAGGGAGAGGGGGAGCCAGAGAAAGAGGAGGAAGGCTTCCAGACAGGGTTCTGTGGTCTCCAGAAAAGTGTCTATGTCCGTTCATTACTTGGTTCACCAAAATCACCATCACCATTATCACTATCACTTAGTAAACGGGAGTGTGAGAGGGAGACTAGGGGGGAGAGGGGTGGCGGGGGTCGGGGGAGGAGGAGGGGATGTGGAGACGGGTTCCCATAGCAACAACGGGGGCACTGGACGTCTCATGCTGGGTCCTCCTCCATTGCCGACCTCTGACGTGAACTTGGCGACCCCGGTGTCACCAGACAATCCCGCTCCGGAAACCAACGGTGGCGACTCGTCATCAGTGCGGAGTACATTCCACACAGACTGCCACCTGGAGCCCAGCACCCCCACTGCCCTCGCCCCTACCCCTAGTCCCTTCTCCCTGACCCCTACGCCCATGTCCAGGCCTATGAAGAGGAACTCAGTGCCCTTCGCTGGTTCCGGACCTAAAAACTACCCCACCCTACAGCCCAGGGCACTAATGGAGTCTAGAAGTGGCAGTGTTACAGCTAGTACCATCAGTAATATAAACCTCAATATACCACCTCTACCCCTGGAGAGAAGATCACAGAGTTTTGTAGACACACACACCCCCACAGGTACGCCATTAAACACACACAAACCATGTGAGAAGGACAGAAGTTAGAGGTGTGGTTAGACTGGTGTTTTTGTCTTGTTTTAATTGAACTGTGATGATATAGTGAATAAAAAGGGAACGTTGCTTTTTCTGAGGTGCAATATCAACAAATGTGCTGATGTGATATAGCTTCTCCATCCCTCCGTCCCTCCCTCCAGCCCAGCTCTCCTGCCGTGACCTGAGTGCCATCGGAACCCTGGACCCGTCGTTCACCTTTGACCCTGAGTCGTGCCCCTACTGTGCCAAGGCTCTGGCAGGGGAGTCAGAGGGCACAGACGGAAATGAGACCCCTGGGGACTCAGACAGTGAGGGCATCTACGAGTTCACCCCGGACCTCCAGCACAGGGACCGCAGGGACCGTCGGGATAGCCGTCAGCCCAGGAAGAGGCAGCGAAAGCTGGGTACGACGGTGGGGAGAGTGGTCCGGGCCTGGAGGCTGGTGTGTG